CCCCAAAACCCCAAAACCCCAAAACCCCGCTTGAAGAAAATTTGAAGAATTAAAGGAAAATATTAGTCTACTTAATTTACATTGCTATTATACTAAAATCTAGTTAGATGAAAGTCCAATCAAATGGATTATCAATCTATTAAATAAATTTACGATTAATAATGGGAAATTCACTGTGCTGCAGTAATACTAACTTCAATGTTTGTTCTCCTCATGACACTAATGACAAGACTTTTGTGTACCTAACCTCTCCTATCCAAAGAGACCCTGCTGCTATTCTTAATCTTAAAAGAACTAGAGCTAAAGCTAACGGTAACCCACATTCGCCTTATAAAAATTCTGATCTTAAGAATATAATGAAGAATGATAGGGCTATATTGGCACGAAGAGGATCATAAGCTAAATAGTAAACTTGGAAAATGTAAATGGTTTTTAATGTTAAAGCTCCTTTTGATGTTAAAAACGTTAGCTACAGCCAAAGAAGGTACCTAGGTTTCAGAAATAGATTTGAATTCGATAAAAAGAGGTTGCTTTTAGCATCTGAAAAACAAATAGTAATTGTTGGGTATAACCAAATAGAGTAACCCTATGAACTTTTCAGAGGTCCAATTTTAGAATTCTAGTAAGATATACAGGATGAATCTTCACCTACAGAGCAAGTAGGAAAATATGATGGGTTTGAGATAAAGCTAGTGAAATTTATGGAGGATCACATTTCAAATTTTATCTTGGTTGTTGCTTAAGATGCATCAAACAAGAAGATAGAGTTCAAAATACTTAAAATCTCTAAGAATAAAGAAGGTCTTTCAAGTGCAATTGAAGAATATTTGAATTAAGAGAAGTCAAATAAAGATTTCATTGCAGATCATGTCACTGAGCAAATCAACAAGGGTAACTATCGCAGAGATCAACTCAGAAAAAATGATAATATCGAAGTAGTACCTGCCAAAAGTGCTGCATCAAGGTCTAAGAACCCTAAGAAGAGAAAGGCGTCATTGATTAGTAACAATTTCTATCAAATAGATAATCCATTGACTTCTAACAATGAAAATTCACGCAATAGAATCCTCTTTAGTGGAACAGAAAACAAGCCAAATAAGGTCAATAAAAGTCAAACACATAAAACAGCTATTTAGTCATTTTAAAACGATGCAAGGAAAATAGGAGTTGGTATTCAGAAATCAGAATTTATTAAGTCTCAAATAATTCATTAGAGAGCTAATACTACTATGCCAGCTAGTGTAAATAAAATTGTTTTGTAAAATCAGACAATGAAATCTCTAGACCTTAATAAATCATTCATGATTGAGACTTTAAACATAAAAGATCAGCCATTTTACCTAGAGTAGTTTGGTAAATTATCAATGAAAGGTTAGGTTGATATGGCTCAGCTTCATTATGGACCCGATGGAAACTTTTTGTTCACATTAGACAGTTAATAACTTATCATCAACATTTTTCTTATAAGGACTAGATTAGAGGATTAAAAGGAAAATATAGAAACATTGAATCCCAAAGTCGCAAACTTCACAATGTCTAAAAAGAGTATTATTAGGTTAGACTTTGAGCCGAATAACATAGATTTTTATGCTGATTATCTACTAGTTACATATAACAGACCTATGAAAATAATAGATATTTATGAAAAGAAGGGAACTTTATGTAATAGAATGGACATTGAGGAATCACTGCATGTTTACAATTTGGAATTAGTAAACATTTAAAGAGCAATGTTTCCAAAATTAAGATGGTCTGACAGAAAAATAGAAGAATTTGAAAGAGCAAATAAATCACAACTCCTTAAAAAGATGGTTATAGTGGGATAGTGTAGATAGCAACAAATTAACAAGGAAATCACCTTATTAAAGGAGCTAGAAGATTAGAATAATAAGTTAATTGAATCTCAAAATGTAACTAATTAAGATGAAAACATTCAAACTTTCATAGCAATCTTTAACATTCACACCTAACAGATAGAAAAGATCTAACTGTTAAAAACTAAGTACGGAGAGGTATCATGTGTCAATTTCGGCCCTTTTGATAATGGATATTTATTAGTTGGGTTGACGAAAGGGGTATTAATAGCTTTTGATATAAATGATCTTAGCATTATAATGCAAGAAAAAATTTTTGAAGATGTTGAAATAGCAGATATAAGTTTTGAGCCCACTAATCTTGTATTTGTGACATCAAGTAATGATGACGTAGTCACTCTAAATTTCATTAAAAAGGAGGTGCATTACATGTATGTGGAATTGGGTAAGAAACAGTATTGCACGGTTAAAGTACCTCACTCTCGCATAAATATATATCAAAAGCAAACCTAGTAGAAGACTGAGTAAAATAATGACGACAATGAGGAAGAATATGAGAAAAATAACGATAATATCCTAAGAATATGCTGTTGATATGTTTGATCAAATTTTATTATCTTGCTTAATAATTTTAATAGCTATCTAATACTATAATTTTAATAATCGCACTATACTTTACATATTCTTCTCTATTTTAAATTTGATGAGCTTGGGGTTTTGGGGTTTTGGGG